GTGACGGGCACTGACGCGCTCGTCATTCGCCATCTCGTCGAGGTCACCCATCGCCATTCCATTCATTTTAGCAGTAGTAAATATGGCTCAGGCCTTGGGCGTGGGTTACTGGGATACTGCTGTTCCTGCCGGGGGCGACCGTGGACATAGTTGCATGTCGTCTTGTCGCATTCGGACATACGCACGTCGCTCCCCATTCGCTCCGCTTAGCGGAAGCAATAGGCCCTACGCCCTGTCGGGGCTCGGGCCTAATAAAATGAATGTGGCTTCAAAGGGACTTCTCAGTCTTGGGTAGAATCCTACTCTCCAAAGCTGAAGGGCTCTCTAGTATAATCTATGCCAGCTCTGCCCTTGATGTACCCAAAAACATTAATGCACAAGTAGACAAAATCTTATTTGACTTTATCTAGAAGAAAAAACACACCTCATTAGGAAAAATGTAATTGATTAATAATTTATGTAATGGTGGATTTAACGTTCTAGATTTTCAGACTCTTTCAGAATTAAATGGATTAAAAGATATTTATAAGATATTTATTGAACCCAAATTCATTATGGAATTTCATTTCAACACATCTATTTGATGCATTAGAAGATTAAAATTTTATTCTGAGATGTAATTATAGCATCGATAAGCTTCCAATTAAACTTTTGAACTTTCACAAACAGCTACTGTTATGTTGGTCTTTAGTATATAAGCACAACTTCTCACCACAAAAATATTACATATGGAATAACAAAGATATATGATTTAAACAGAAATCTCTTTTCCTAAAAAAATGGGTTGACCAGGGTATCATCTATGTACACCAACTGTTTAACAACAAAGGCCTATTCCTACAGTGAATTTCTCAATGTTTAAAATTTTCCAGTAATGTCAAGAGAATATGCAATTGTTTTTGATACCATTCCTTCTGGAGTGAAAATGCTGATGTCCACTTATGTACATATTTCTAATGACTCAACTAAGACCGAGCTCTTTATTGATAACTCTGTCCCAGAGAAATCTATCAGTAAACCAGCTTCCGTTTTTGTCTGGAACAATACATTTATGGACATTAACTGGAATGATGTTTAGCTTTTGCCTAGAAAATATTTTGTAACTAATAAGACTTGTGAGGTCTGCCTGAAAATCCTGCATAGATGTTACCCTGTTATCTCAAAATTTCACTTAAACATAGATCATCTTTGCTCATTCTGTCACAGTGGTGAAGAAACGGTCATGGTAAATGGTCACATTTTTCTATAGCGCTTTTCCACCTTCAAGGCACTCAAAGCGCTTTACAACAAGGAACCACTCACCCATTCACACACACATTCATACACCAGTGTACGCAGACACTGTGGGCAAGGTGGGTTAAGTGTCTTGCCCAAGGACACAACGGCAGCATTCATCTGTGGGAGCTGGAATCACACCAGCCAACCTGTGGGTCAGTGGATCTGACCACTCAACCTGTGATGTTTATGTCAAGAGCTGGATTCGAACCGCCAACCTTCAGATCAGTGGGCGAATGCTCTACCAACTGAGCTACTGCCGCCCCAATGACACCCTGCCGTCATCCATATGTTTTGGGAATGTTCATACACTCAAGTCTTTTGGAATGACATATTTTTGTTAGTGAATAGAAAGCTTGATACAAACCTAAAATTTAATATAAAACATGTTCTTTTTGGTGTCTTTAAGAAAGATATTCCTGACAAAAAATATATGTATGTGTGTGTGTGTGTGTGTGTGTGTGTGTGTTGAACTTAATCCTAACCCTATCAAAGTTTCATATCCACTACCATCCTTCCATCCTTGTCCTCTTACATAAATTCTCTAAATGATTGCACAAATCCCAAAGCACTTTGTACAGAATTTGAAATATGAAATATTAATGTATTTATTTACTTTTCTACATTTGTACATCAATACATTTTCACTGTGATGCATAAATGTGTTATTAATGAAGATGTTGCGCATATTGAGCCCTGTGAATACTACACCCTATGAACTCTTAAGCCTCCAGCAATGTTTTTGTTCATACATTCATCATTTTTTTTGTATTACATTGTATATTTGAAGAAAAAAAAGGACTCTTTACAGCTTTAAACCATGTTAGAGTGTTGCTACTTACTAAATCTCTACATCTCTAAAGCTCAAAATGCTCTGTTCCACCTTCTGCTGTCATGAAGTGGTAGTTTTCAAGTTACCAAGTACTTTTTACCTGTATTTCATGTCATGCTGGCAGACCCGGGCATAACACAGCACAGCTTTAAGGCTGTGTGAGGAGGAGGAGGAGGAAAAGAAGAGGGAGGAGGAGGATTATGTAATAGACTCAAAGAGCAAGTCCTTCTTAATCAGGGGACAGGACAGTCATTGGAGGGAGGTGTGTTTACAAAGCACTGAATGGGACAAAATAAAGCTCTGTTGAAAATGGTTTGGTCATTGTTTTAAAGTTGTTTCCACGTTTAACACACAAATCCTGCAGAGAGGCAGAGTTCTCTCAAACGGAAGACACTCTGTTCCACTTTGTGATGTCATGTGGTACTACATAAGTACTCTATTGTGTTTTTAAACTTCATACACCTTCACTAGAATAATTTGGATAAAAAAGGTGGCTGTTAAAACCACTACATGACATCACAAGGTTGAACAGAGCATTTTGAGCTTGGGAGATGTAGACAAATGATAAAGGATTACTCAAACATCTGTGAATGAAACAAAACACAGCTCTGGGTATGTTTTTGATGAGATAACAACATTCTAACAAGGCTTCAAGCTCACAAGATTCAATTTTGTGTACTTAGGACCTTTAATATTCGCCAGTTGAAGTACTCGGTTGAGGAGGATGCGTTTCTCGGCAGGCAGGCAGGGGAAGAGTACCCAGGGGGAACGGGGTTTCATAAGATCGTAAAAAATGAAGAGAAACTGGGAAACGGAGCGTGAGGATCCACGTGCAGCTCCGGTGAGGACACGTGCAGTGCGTAAAGAGGCCGGCGAAGGGGGAGATGGGAGGAGGAGGCGCACGGAGAAAGGTTTGAAATTAAACGCCAAAATATCTCGATGAATATAGGCTAAATGAACAACGTAAACAAAACACGATGCGGAGCGGGACAAGACGATGTGATTTAGTTTAATGCGGTCGCGCTGATTTGTGGGTGAGAGGAGAGAAAAACGTCAGCGGATACACGGTGCGTTCAGGGTTATGTGAAAAAGTGCAACTGTAATCTACGAGACAAAATACCTGCCTTCTACTGTATTTCAGATAACATCATTACGTTCCAGTGGCGAACCGTGGACCTGGACCCTGGGCCTTCACTAGGACCAATTGCTTGCTATCATAACATTTTTCGGATCGGGGGACTTCTTCGCTACAGGAAGGCGAAAGCCCTGCAGGTGTTTCTTTAGTTTACTTTAATGCCTGCAGGAGGAGTCGCTGTTTTACCCAGATACCACTGGAAGAAAAATTGTGATTGGTCCATTTCCATTCCATTATATTAACCCTGTGTTTCCCAAGAAATATTAGTCCAGGTTTTTAACAGTGATCTAGAAATTATTACTAGTGTAGTGTTTATTACTCACTCAGTAAAAAATATTGAAAACAATATAATAGTAGTACAAAAATTCTTTCAATATTTTTTTCTTGGGCCTTCACTGAATACCTTGAAGGCCCTGAGGGTTACCTTCTGTTACGTTTTATAAGTCCGTATTAAAAAAGTTGGTTTTGTTGTAATACAATGAAGCCTTGGATTTATAGTGATGGGCAAATGAAGCTTCAAGACGCATTGAAGCCTTTCATCCAATTGGTTCACTCTAGCGCGAAGCTTCTTGAAGCTTCATTTGCTCTAACAGGACATCTACTGGACACAAATATCAGCTGACATGAATTTGAAGTGTGTGACATTTTGCAGAAAGCCTGTGAATAAAACTGTCAGCAAAATAAAGAAGTATGCAAAACATGTATATTGTAGTGATGGCAGTGTATTGTGTATCTATATACTGGCAGTATGGAAAATTATTATTTGAAAATGATGAAAATGGAAATCGCAGCAAAACCATTTCCTGAATCAGTCACGTGGTACAGCCGGGCAGCAAGGCTTCGGACGTTATCATTTTCAGCTCCTCCCCTAAACGAAGCAAGCCTCGATACGCGCATCGCGGAAACGCCCCCTCCCTACTCGACACACGCTTCGAAGCCTCTATACAGAACGTCACACCACTACGGATTTAGTCACTAATAGAAATGATCAGGTTTAACTTTCATTGCAAAGTTCCATGTAGTAAAATTGGAAAAAACTGTCTCTTGCCCCCATCTGACATCATACAATCTGAAAAGGACCAATACATTTAAGACACTGAATTCCATACAGGCCTAAAATAGCATAATAAATAATATGTAGGTTTATTTGTACATACTAATGCATTGTAGTGAGGTTATTTTATTTAAATGAATGTAAAAATCACAACAGTGAACCTAGGTCCTATTCATTAGTGCGGTGATAAATTTTTTAGTTGCTTTGGAATACAGGAAGATCAGTTTGTGAAGCAAGAATTAGCCCCAGAGTTTGTACAAACATAGTGTCAGACACAGTGCAATATATAAACATATTAATAAACTATGAAGGTCTAGGCTTCTTTAATTTCAAACCAGTGGGCTTGGAATTATATATTTAATATGTCTGTAAACTCAATACATATAATAATGAATATAATACATTTTATGTCAGCCAGTATTTTGTTGGATTAACTCTTTTCTTCTTGACGTAAAAAGTCTACATTTACGGTAATGTACTATTTTCTTTACATATAAACTAATCTTAACGTCTAGTATTTACGGTCTACATGATGTGTTTCTCTTTTTACGACTTCCTCTGTCTTCCTCTGTATTTTCGTGTCTGAGTCGTCTAAACTCCCGCGGCCCTGAACGCAGCTGACACGGCCTGACCCGAAGCGCGCTCCCGTCTCTACGTGCCCATGGTACGTGCCTACTCCCCCTGCGTGTACGTGCGCGTGCACACGTCTCGCGTGGTGAGGATCATCCATATTGGTGCTAGCGCTGGAGATAAGGCTTAATCCGGAGGCCCTCGCACACGTTTGTCCTCGTTTCGGTGCGTGTGGCTGCGGCACACCGGCCCTGGTGCGCTGTGGACTAAAGCTTTGGTCTAAACAGGGGCGCGGCAGCGGACGAACCTCTACTTTTCCCCCGAAAGAGAACCCTGCCGATCGGGCCAGGACTGGTAATCCTACCGGAGGAGACAGGCACGGCGGAGGTGGGAAATGGCCACTCAGGTGGAGACTCTCCTGCCCGGCAACCCGCTCTCCAAACCCGACGACCACGGCGCCATGATCCGCGGTGAGCTGGAGCGGGGGGAGCGGGACGAGCTAGGGGACGAGGCCAAGCTAGACAGCCCTTGCACCGGGCAGGGAGGCACCCACGACTCGGAGCAGTACCCAGCCTCCCATAAAGAGTCTAAAGGCGACTCTGACAACGACAACAAGCCGAGCGAGGAGGGCGGCAGAGGCAAAAGGGAGTTTACCGAAGCCCCTCCGCCCAAGGTGAATCCGTGGACTAAGAAGATGAACGCGGTCACGGTGGTCAGCGTGAACGGACAGGCGCTCCACGGTTGGTACATTTTCACCTCTATACACGCTCAGAATTGTGCATGCCAGCCTCGGTTTGCACTCTTTTGGGCGTGTGTGGCTCTAACAACACGTTCCAAGCAGATGTCAGATAGTCAAAGCTTCAACTTTGTCCACAAATACGCAAAGTGGCTGGTTTCTATTTGGCGTGCAGACCCCTCCTGCTACCACTAGAAGCTTTCTTGGAGCTCGTTTCTCAAAATTTGTAAATGTCTTTTAGTGTCAAGCTCCAAAATATCCACACAAACGTCTCAAACCAACTTCAAACTCGTATTTTAACTTGTGGGGACAGTTTGAAGTGTAAACCCCATGTTATAACGCTGGATTTCGTTGTCAATGCTTGTTACTATGCTGGGGTGTTGACATACGGTAAGCCACTGTGGATAAATGAATCTTGGCACTCATGTTGGTTCAAATATAGAGTTAAAATAGTCCACTGGTTTTAGACTATAATTATAGCTTTGATTTACGGTTTTAGTTTCCTTTGGGTGTATTTTGAGCCACATTCCTGTGTATATATAAGCACTTTATGACTTATTTTAAATCCTGTTGTGCAAGTCCTCTAAAGTCTGCTCAAGTTGTGACATCACATACAGTAGCTCCATTCACAAGTGGTATCCAGGGTGTTCTTTTGTTCTATTTTTGTAAACTTTTGTTTGCGAAGTGTTTTTATATTTCAAGTCTTCCTCCAAAATACACCTTCTAGATAGCAGTAGGCTAATGTTACTATCATGTGTATCCTGTTTGTTGTGTCAATTTTAATCCTGCAGACTCTAGGAGATGTCAAATATTTAAGCTCCCTGTTTATCTCCTGGTCTGAGGCAGTTTCGACATTAAACTACTGCAGACATTTTGCAGGTTAGCCGCCCTGATGACTTGCATTAGCAGCAAAGCCACCACGAGTCGCTGTATGTTGGCTAACAATAGCACTCTGTCTGGCCTAGCATCACCAGGCCCCTTTAGCTTAGCTCTTGTCGCGTTTCCTTTCACCGTTTACGACTTTTCAGACAGCGTGTGTGCTTATGCAATCTCCACCCTCTTCGGTAGCTGTTAAACGGGCTCTTGAGTACGTAATTTGGTCTCTAAATCCACTTAAAAGTTTGTTATGGGCGTCACGTGTCTACTCCACGTGTTCCCCGATAGAGAAAAGCAGCATGGACGACTGGAGCTAGCATGCTAACAGGCTAACAGGCTATGGGCAAATGATGAGGAGACTACACACTTTGGGAGTTGTTGGTGGTTAAAGTCTTTATTTGAGACTGTTTTTTTTAATTTTTTAATGACAAAGCAATAGTTTTAAGAATTTTGCTAGTTTGAATATAATACAGTAAGGAATTGTTTTATTTAAAACAGGTATTTAATCATTTAGGCCTGCTAACATTAAACTACTGCATATTTAAACAGGAGAGACTTGTTGTGGCCAACAATGCATCAGTTTTGTTTGGCAAATTGGTCTATATTTTACTTAAATCCACACCCAATTAAACTGACTGAATTCTGAAAGTGTGTAGAGTTGCTGAAAGTTGTTCTAAAGCAGACATGTCAAACTCAGGCCCCGGGGGCCAAATTTGACCTGCAGTGTAATTATGTTTGGCCTGTGAGATCATATCAAATATGTATTAGAGCTTGCCCACCGGCTACAGATGGGCTATAGAGACATTATTTAAAATTTTGTTATTATTTTATATTATGCTTGGTCTGGAGTCAATGTTTAAGCAAAACTATTATTAAACATTTATTTTAATAAGAAAAGGTTTAACATTATTATCTAGAAACAATTGAAAAACATGCAGATTTTGTTGAAATTTTTCAAAAAATATTTAGTTTGGCCCACGACTTGGTCCCAGTTTTTAATTTTGGCCCTCTGTGAATTTGAGTTTAATACTCCTGTTCTGAAATAAAACTACTTCAAAACATTAAAGTTGAGGTACAAAGTAATAGAAAAACTATTTTGGGTAATAAGTAAGAGTAACGTCATGAACTGTCTGAACGTAACATATGTGATTAATAATTTGAAGTTCATATAAGATCAGAACACAGAATCTGGTGTTTTCAAAGGAGACACAAAAATGAGACCAACTAAATCATATCTGAAGGAGCACTGCAAGAAACACAAATGGGTCATTCCACACCATTTCATCAAATTTCCAGAAAATGTCACGCATCATGTTTTTTAAATTTTGAAAAACTTACCAGCTGGTCCCTTACTATCATGTACCAACCCTGTGAAATTTTTGTCATTTTCGATCAATACTTTTCAAGTTACAGCTCATTTAGTGAGGGGAGTATGTGTTACTTTACAGGCCCAAAATCAAGTCATTTTTTCTCGGTGGTTTTCACAGGTCGATATCTCTGTAAGTATCACACATAGAGAACTGAAATTGTATAGGCTTGTACTCCTCTACTCTGTGTTCGAATAACATATATTGAAAGTTTGTTATCTCAACTCATTGGCATTTTATATGAACTTAAAAAAAAAAAAAAAAACTCGTTCATTTTCGTGGCGTACCATTTTTAGCCCCTTTTTAAATCTACTTGTAGGTGTTGTAGACCATACATTTTTTTTGGAGAATCAAGATATGTACTAGTACTGTTAAAAAAAATCACCAAATGTTGAAAATGAAGATGTGCCTACTGATACTGATGATGAATAAGACATACATGTTCTGTGTTCTGGGTTTTTAGATATCTTGTAACACATCCTGTTGATTCATGTTGGGGAGCTTTAGCTCCTGGAATAAAACATGATACATGGTCACTGTATACTTGTGTCATTGTGTCAAATGCAAATGTTCAAGATACAATAAAAAAATTAAGCAGCTTCATAAAATATATGTTTGGTACCATATGAAAGGTCTTTTTCTGGTCTTTCAAATAAAAATTATTCAAATTTTTTAAAATCACTACCCACATGCCATAAATTACATGTGAAAATCGAACCATGTTGCGTTTTCTTGTTTTTAACAGGACCCTCACGCATAACCTATTTCAAATTTTCAACATTTGGTGATTTCTTTTAACAGTCCTAGTACATATCTTGATTCTCAAAAAAATTTAAGGGTCTCCGACACCTACAAGTAGGTTTAAAAAGGGACTAAAAATGGTATGCCATGGAAATGAATGAGGTTTTTTTTTCATTTTTAAGTTCATATAAAATGACAATGAATTGAGATACCAAACATTTGATAGATGTTATTTGAACACAGAGTAGAGGACTACAAGCCTACATAATTTCAGTTCTCTATGTGTGATACTTACGGAGATATCAACCTGTGAAAACGGCCGAGAAAAAATGATGTGATTTTGGGCCTGTAAATGCACACATGCAGCTCATTTACTGAGGCGAGTAACTTGAAAAGTAAGGGTTGGTACATGGGTTAATACAAGATAGTAAGGGACTATGAACTACTATAAAAAATTTTTGAGAACGAAGTGCGTGGGCAATTTGTTGAAATGGCGGGGAATGACCCAAATGTTTCTCACAGTAGGAAGAGTAACCACAACTTTTAAGAGTTAGAAATTTTAATATGACGGCAACACTATTTTGATACTAAGGAACAGGCGATAATAAAAAACAGTCTTTATATACAGACAGAATACAACAGAAGTCCTTTTCAACATGAAATCATAGTACTTTCTTTTATAGTACCATGTGGCCTTATATGTGTAATCCTTCAGTCGTATGTATGCACATCTATTATAGGTTCCATAGAGGTCCACGTTGTCTTATTCTTGTTCTGATACAGCTCAAGATCATTCTAGTATTCAAGAAAGATTATGTTGTGTCCTGTGAATGGGACTTTTTAGTATCGATACCTGCTCAGATGAGTATCCACTTTCAACACTTGCTTTCAATACTTTTGGCAGAACTAGTAGCAGTACTATTACACTGTGCTTGTTAATTATTTCTCTCACGAGATTTGACAATCCTGGCTGTCAATCTACCACACCTAACCAAAGGCGGCGTCCTCAGCTGTCGAGGAACTGTTTGTTACCCAACCATGACACAGATGCTTCCTGACTCATATTGTTGTTGTCATGGCAACTATTGTAAACACTGTTTTACTTAAAACTAACATTACCTGACTGAGGTGTCATTTAGCTAACCTCGCTGGTTTATTGGACTGAACAGAGCCTTAAGTTTTTCCCATACTTCCAATATACAAGCTGTTTATTGGGTAAACCAAAAGTGGCAAAACAAAGGTAGTTTTGTATTTGTGATTCATTGTTTGCATTTGTGAAACACTACACTACAGGGTTAGCAGTTTTTCAAAAATTGCAGCCATTGCGATTTGTTAATTGCATCCCTTCAAATTTCAATTTCAGTTCAATTCTAATTCATCTTTTAGCCCTACCCAACTCTATATAATGTTTGTGATTACCGTAATCTATGAACTAGTGTTGTCACAAATATAAAAATTTCAGACTCTATTTTGAAAGAATAGACTTGATACTGGTGTCAGTACCACAGTAATAAAAAATGACAATAGAATGTGATTTTCAACATTAAATCGCAGTCCTGTCTTTTCTCTCCCCATGTGTCCTTATATGTGTGTAATCCTCAGTGGTCTAGGTAGGTTCCATTGTGGTCTATGTATGTATACTAGTCTATGTGCTCTTATACTTGTTTTATACAGCTCAAGATCATTCTGAAGCTATTCAGGAAAGGTTAATTTCTGTCCTGTAAATATATATATATATATATTTTGTATCAGTACTTGTTCAGAGGTGTATCTAGTTTCAGTATTGGTTAATGTCTGATTTTTGATACTTTTCACTACCCTATTGTGAACTAACCTTTGCGTCCTTTGCTCTGTGATCTCTGTGTCTGCAAACTAGGAGTGTGCTCAGACTTATCTCCTCTGTAGAGTTGCCTTCCCCCAGTATCTGACAGTGCTCCAGTGGTGGTAGTAGTATGAATGAGAGGTATTTTTTAATTTTATTTTTTCAGCCGACTGATGCTTGAATCTACAAGGCAGCACT